TGGCTTGACAACAGTACACGTGTAAGGGATCTAGGAGTCCTGGTGTGCTGTGGCAATTTAAAAGCCAATGTGATTCTTGACTGCATTAATAGAAGTACGGTGTCTAAATAAAGGGAAGTAATAGTATTACTTGTTGGAAGATCTTTGCGTTCTCCTTTTCCCTCCTTAGATAGATAGGGATTCCTGCTTGGAAAAACCTCCTTTTTCTCTCTCATTCAAACTAACCATGTGATTTAGGTCACTCCCTCTTTGGAACTTACAGCCTTTCTCTCAAGATTTTCATGTGAGCTTTTCCATCTTCCTGGTCTCACAACTTTATTTGGAAAGATGATGAGAAAAATATTTCTCTCTACCTGAACTGTTCACTAGTTAGATTAGGATATAACCTGTTATGTAAATATAGATTAAAGCCACTTTTTTAAAAACTACAACCTATGTGTTTGTTGTTTTTGTGTCAGTATCAGTTCTTAGGGAAGCATAGTTATGGAAAGTCACTCTTCTGATACTCTGCTGTTTTAAACCCAGACCCTAACAGGCTTGTCTTTCATATTTTAAATATTTTTATTTCCTTACTAAAGGCTAAAGCCAGGCCTCACTTAAAATACCGTGTCCAGTTCTGGGCACCATAGTTCAAAAAGGATGTTGAGAAGCTGGAACATGTTTGAAGGAGGGCGAGCAAAATAGTGAAAGGTCTGGAAACCATGCCTTATGAGGAGGGACTTAGGGATCTTCCAACAAGTAATATTATTACTTCCCTTGATTCAGCCTGGAGAAGAAAAAGTTAAGAGGTGATATGATAGTCCTATTTAAATACTTGAAGGGATGTCATATTGAGGATGGAGCAAGCTTTTCTGCTGCTCCAGAGAATAGGATGTGGAGCAATGGATTCAAGCTTCAGGAAAAGAGATTCCATCTCAACATTAGGAAGAACTTCCTGACAGTAAGAGCTGTTTGACAGTGGAACATGCCCCCTCGGAGTGTGCTGGAGTCTCCTTCTTTGGAGGTCTTTAAACAAATGGTCAGCTGTCTGCGGTCCGACTGTGAGTTGTGTGGCAGGGGGCTGGACAGGATGGCCCCTGTGGTCTCATCCAATTCTATGATTCAGACTCCTGTGCATTTGCTGCTTAGTGTCTAGCTCAGCCTCCTCCTTTGATGGCTCAGGTAAGCCACCAAAGGGCATCTACTGGGCTCCTTTGGATGGTTTTTGCACAATCTGGGAACCACTGTGCTCACACCTGCAGCAGGTAAGTAATATCAGGCCATCTGAAAAGGTGACCACTGTGATTTTTCTATTCATGCTAGCACTTCTCCTTCTTTCTGGAAGATTTGTCATCGAATCATAGAGCTGGAAGAGACATGAAGGGCTATCCAGTTGGTGGTGAGCAAAGGAGAAATGGTGTGTCTCCTTCTGATGTGGGATGAGGCTACTGGCATGACCTTGGTAACACTGAAAAAAACATGTTCCATAAATGTCCATGCTGTGACAGCAACATGAAAAGATCCCCACCATGGCAGAGGGAATGTTAATGAATTGTTGAAAGTATGCTTTGTTTGAAAATGATTTGAGAGAAGACTCCTTTTATATGACAAGTCACTTTATAAAGACCTGTGCTTTCTCCTTTTTTTTTTGGTAACCTGATTTTTTTGTCTATCTCTTCCAGGTGAAATGCAGTGTGGGAATGAACATCACAAGTGCTGTAATGTCATTGATTGGCATGATTGTATATATAATAATATTGGCTACACCCAACATATATCACTATTTAGATGTCTCTCAACAATATAAGGTAAATGAAAATCTCATGCAGAACATTGACTTTACAGTCAGGCTCTAAAAAGAACAATATGTGACAGTAAGAGAGAAACTCTGTGTACCTTGAGTTTTGTCATTTTCACTACAACCTTCCCCCTTAGTTTAAAACAAGGCCTGTCTCTTCGGCAATCAAAAATGTTCTGGAAATAAAAGCAAGAACACCACAAATTACACATATGATTCTCTGATCCACACATCCCCCTTTTTTATTTTCTGGTTTTTATAAACCTGGGATTCTGGGAAATTCTGGCATCTGAGCCAACATTTCTTACTTTCAACGAAATTTCAAGGTTAATAATTTTTGTTCAAAATAAATAGCTGAATATGTGAGAGCCCTTTGATTGATAGGCTTCAGCTTTTCCTCTTCATTGAGTAAGTGAGCTGTTCCACATTGGAAGAATGTTTTTAAAAAGCCTTCATTCTTGCAAAACAGCTTCTTGGGTTTTGCCAGTTGTCACCTCTATGTCCACTCATTCTATTCTTTTTTGTGAGGGGAGGATTGTTTCTGTAGAGGTTTCTTGGATCTGCACCAGGAGATCTTCCATAGGTTTTTTCTCTTCAAGGTGGGGCATGGTTTACTAGGAGGTCCTATAGTTTGAAGGGCAAGATTTTTGTTGTTAACTGCTGTCAAGATGGCTTCAACATATGGTGACCCTATGAATAAGAGACCTCCAGTTCATCCTATCATCAACAGTGTTGCTCAAGTCTTGCAGACTCAGAGCTGTAGCTTTATTAAGTTTTCCAGAATTCCTGGAAAACAGGAGAGGTCCCAGCGGACTGGAGGAGG